TACCGTACTGAAAATCTTTTAGTATTGAAGCCAAGCACTGCAGCGGAAACTGTAGTATTGGTAAACACACTCTGATCACCAGAATTGTTGTTTTTTCTATTTTAAATGCTTGAAAACAATTTACAAATGATTTTTACTTTAGTTCTTCTAGAATTGATTCTCTGACATTCTGATGATCAGAACTAAAATAGAAATCATTTGTAGATTGTTTCCAAGCATTTCAAATAGAAAAAACAACAATTCTGATGACCAAAATATATTTACCAATACTATGGTTTCCGTTGCAGTACTTGGTTTCAATAAGAATCATGGAAGACATATGAGAATGGAATGGGCCAACCGTGTATATTTAAAAGAAGAAAAAACAGTATTTTTAAATGCAATAATGTTGTATTTAGCCTCTCGTTGTGTTTGTGTTAACAACAAGTAACAGCAAATCATATTGACACGTTGATTTATTTATGATGTAAGAAGTTGAATTAATTAATTATTGTTAAAAAAAGAAAAAGATCACATTGTACAGACGCACAAAGATAGAGACTAAACACTTAACAAAACTTAAAATTTCTTGATAATATCTGTTTATTAATAATATATTGTTGAAAATAAAAAAAAATATAATACTTAAGATATCTACAGCAAAAAACAAAATCTTCGAAAGAATAGTCATATATTCTAGTTGCATTCAGCACTCTCTAATAATTCATATTCATTTATTTCGATTTCTATTAAATGGTTGACACATATTTCGACTATGATGAAGATAGTCTAATTTTTAGATTTCCACAAATCTCACGTTCTTTATTGTTATTGAGTAGTTATATAATTTGTATGAGTCGTCGCGCATCTGCAGATGTTTGTGTGTGTGGATAAAAAAGTGTCGTATTTATACCCATACCTTAACCCTTTACCCCCGTTGGTCACTGGAGTGACCATTTGTAGAATGATTGCAGAAACTAAAGGAAGCATTGAATTCAAAAACGATAAGAATCTTTTTTGTATCAAACTTCATGAACTATCGATAGGTAAAAAGATCATTTCTCTTCATTGCTTCGTTACTGAAATATCGGGTCTATAAAATCGATAATTTTGAAAAAATGAAAAAAATCGAAAATTCTGAAACAAAATTTTGTCTACTCGTAGCCAAGAGAGATTTTTTGGAATTACTGTGTGATATTAATTGATGAAGAAGTCCTCTGGCGAATTAAATATGTTTCCAAAATTTCATAAGAACTTCACGAATTGCACATACAAAGGGATACAATTGATCATGTAGCCACTATCTCGTAGATGGAGGGTAATCAAGAAGGGAGTTAATACATGTATTATAAAGCTCAACTCATGACAAGTCGAAATCGTATGTATAATGAATTACATTTCTTCAGAGGTTATGAAACGGCTCGAAGCAAACTAGGCTACAACTTGACAACACATGTAAAAAATATGTGTATACTTTGGTTTTAAATTTTTCGCTTCACTCCTTGCCTTTTTTTCGTCACTTTAATAGTGCAACATAGATACTGCTTCGATTCACTATACGATATGGTCAAAGAAAAAAAAGTCAAGTACTACAATGTGGTTCAAGTCACTTCCTCTACCACAGAATTATAGGATCAATCAAACCGCCCTACTCTAGAGGCAGGATTTTCGGTGGATCGGATCGCATCATTGGTATACTATGGGGGCTAGTACTCTATTAATAAAGTTATTTTGTCAGCAGCTCTTCTGGAACTACTATGGGGGGGTAAAGGGTTAATTTTATTCTTCTTTTTTTTTTTTGTAATAAAAATAGTGGAAAAAATCTTTCAAATCACGTAGATTTTATCAAAGAAAAATTCTTTGTGATGTGATACCTATGTCTCTTCTCAGATAAATTTTTCTTTTTGATAATTTACCCTAGAATACTTCGTAGACATAATTTTTTATGTTAAACATTTGTCATTAAACGGTATCTGATTCATTATAATTTTCTGATGTTTTTATATATTACAAAAAAATAAAGATGAAATTAAATAAGTATGGATATATTTTTTCAGGATTATATCATATAAAATACGTTTGAAGGTCAATATTTATAATGAGATATGACATATGGTCTTATCTCGCAATACAAAATGACAAAAAAATGATTTATGAATACCACAAAAAAAAACAACATGTTTGAGTAGTCTTGTTCGATAGACTCATGTCAGATAATAGTTCTTTTGTAAATTCATTCAAATAAAATTTTTAATACTTAATTAGGAAAATATCCTTTTTAAATATTACTAAAATTTAAGTAAGAAAAAGTTTGAAAATTTCTATTAACAAAAATTCATTTTTTTTTAAATTATTTTTTCATACTTTTATAATTGCTTGTATTTTTTTGCTTTTCTAAAAATGTGAATTAATCAATCAATTTAAAAATAATCTATCTCTGACCATCTTTTCATGTTCTATTGAATGATACATAAAGGTGAAAGCAAAATAATCCATGTGATTTTTGCATTATGCGCAGCGTAATTTCAGAAGAAACTATGCACACATCAATGAACAAGAATTTTTGCTTGTAATCCAGTTCTATGAGCTCTTTCACATATAAAAATGACTTCGTTTCTGCATAGTTTGATAAAGAATACTTGAATATTCATTTAGAATTTGTTTTAAATATTCAAATCATTATATAACATTGACAACATATTTAAAACAAAGATTATCTTGCTGATTTAATCAGGATCAAATTTCTTGAACTTTGCTCTTCTGCTTCATTAAAATGGTTTAGATGAAAACTAAGAGGATATTGGTGATACGGGTACACAACAATCTCAATGACAAGTTAAGATGTCCTTAGAAAAAGAAATCAATTTTTGTCAGCATATGATCTTTTCGATCACTCATCTCAGAATTCACGAATGAACTTCATTGTAACAAATAGCTTTTGCTTTTGTTTTCGAACAGATTTTTGGAAGAAAAGTGCCTTTATTAACCTTTGTTCGTTTATTTTTGATTCAGACCTGGATCGAAAGTGGTTGATCCTACTCATTCTAGTGAACGTCTAAATAGAACTAAAAAACTCATAACATGATGCTTTTTGAACAAGCCTTTATATTCAAACGAATGAGAAAAGAATTCGACAAAACCTTTGTACGTTGTTTAACTAGAAAAAAAATTATTATTAGATTGCAGATAGTTTTGTACAATTTTACTATTGAATAAAAGTTCGACATCATGAATGTCTTTTTATTTTCAAGTCATTCCAATTTTTTTGTATCATTTACCATTTAATATAAAAATTCTTTTATTTTATTTTCTTCTCTAATGTTTTGTATTACTTGTTTATAAATGTGAAATATAGCGAATAAATTTAATCACAAAATTTTTTTTTGCATGTTATGTTTTTATTTATTTAAATAGTAATATTCTATTAATAAATAAACTTGCTTCAAATAAAACTGATCTATGTGAAAAATATCTTGTTGATGTAATGAGTAATTTAACTAATAAATAATATTCTATTATAACAACATATGCTAAGGTGACATTTATTGTGTAAATATTTCTCAACAATTTTATAAGATTATCTTTTCGTAATCAACAATCTAATGAAATATTCAAACGAAATAAGATTTGTTTTTCTGTATTTCATAAAATTGAAAATAATTTTTTTTTCAGATTTAAAATAAAAATAAAATAAAGCATTCATATTTATATTTAAATCGATATTTAATAAAATATTTGAAAATAATAAATGATTGATGAAAATATTCTTCGTCATTAATATCAAGTTCATTAAAAATACTTTTTTTTTTCCTTCATTATCATTGTCTACTACTAATTAACTAGATTTTAACAATGATTATAATCCATCTATATTAAATAATCATACATTAATTAAATGAAAATAATTTATCGTCATGATTATTAATAAAAAAAAAAAAATTCATTTTGAAATAACGTCTTATCGAAGATTCATGATTAAATAATATATGTTTATTAATTGATAAAAATATTTTAGAAAATAAATTCCAATTGATTTCAAACGGTATTCATTTACTTATACGTATAAATAGATTTACTTTTTACCCAAATAAATTGATTAATATTTATTTTCAATAGCAATTTTACTATCATTTATAAGATGTTTAGAAAAAAGATTGATGTATACTATCACATATATTACCGAGACGAACATATTGAATAATTATGAACGACTGTCAATTTGATTATGATGTCCTTGATTTTATTGCGACAAATGTATTATATCTTATTGATGCATCTACTTACTCTATTTTAAAAGATAGAATCACAAAAAGTTAAGAAAAAAAAAAGATCATATCTATCTGTACGGGTTTTTTAGTTATATGATTTGCATCAACGTTGACAAAATAAAATATAATGTAAACATACATAGAATCTACATAATATTATATTTGATAGCACGTACTATTTATAATATATATTTATTACTTCATTGTAAACCTTGCATATAAGATAGATGATTACAATTATAACTCAATGTTATTTTTTTTGTCTTTCCTTATCCTTGACGGAGTATCATGAAGTTCAATCATGCGCTACGTTTCACTTTACTTTCTTCAATCTATCAATAGTATATTATAATATTGAAAGCATTTTTAGATTAAATATTATCTTAGTTTATAGTAAATACACGTGTCCAAAATTCTAACTTCGTATATTTGCACTAAAAAGTTCTTATCTTTCAATTCGTTAACACTTATTGAATAGAGGAAATAAATATATTTCTTTTTTGGTTGGTCAAACTTTATATGATGTTAAGAAAAATCCAAGACAAAACTACACGATGACATCGAAGTAATACAGATTAAAAAAAAAAAGGAAAGCCTAACATAACTGAAATAGAAATAAGCCATTACAAGAAAAATAAAGAGAAGAGGATAAAAAAGATCTAGATTTCATCAAATACGAAAACATTCCATTCAAGTTATAACCACCATAGTTTTTGAATCTTTGGTTTTTTTTTGATTGACTGCTTAAAGTTTTTAATAGGAATATGATGAACCGTATGATTCGTACGATGATGCACCACCGGCTCCTCCAGCATTTTGAGCTAGAAATAGATGAATGTAATTTAATTATGATATCTATTAAATGATAAAATTCATTAGAAGAAATATTTACCGAGGAGAAGATTAGCATCACCACCAAGGAAAGCAGCATCACCTCCGAGAGCACCACCAGTTGAGAAGCTTGATGATTCATATGATGATGCTCCATAACCACCATCAAGACCGCCACCAATGATACCACCACCAAGACCGCCACCAACGATACCACCACCAAGACCACCAGCAACAAAACCAGCTTCTAAACCTCCAACACCGCCACCTGATGAGAAGCTTGATGATTCGAATGATGATGAACTGACACCACCACCACCACCAAGAGCAAGACCACCATCGACAAATTCAGCACCTCCAGCAACAAGACCACCACCTCCAGCAATAAGACCAGCACCTCCAACTAAACCTCCTGAAGCACCAAATGATTCTTGACCGAATGCGGCACCACTGTAACCAACAACGCCAGGTGGTGACTATAAAAATAAAAAGATCATTATTTAAGAAGAGAGAACAATACTATGTGATGAACATACGAGATCTTCAACAACACCAGCAGCACGAGCTTGTGCAAGAAGTGTAGCACCATCAAGAAGTTGAGCACCATATGTTTGAACGTAAACAGCTGGATTAGTTGCAGCAACACCAAGACGGTGGAATTGACGAACAATGCGAGCTGGAGCTTGTTCATATTGGATGATAATATTGCGTGGAGCTGCGTATGCTCGGGCAGCAGCAGCACGTTGAACAATAGTGCGTCGTCGTTGTTGAGGTCCATATGGAACCCAACGTTCAATGACGATGTCACCTGAAATGAATGATTAGTATGATTAAAACATTAGAAAAAGTGAAAGAAACTACTAACGTGGTCGTGGTGGAGCGGCTGGAAGACGTTCGATGATGACTGATCGTGGTGGAACTGGTATAGCACCCAAACGACGAATGACTGTTTGAGATGCAACAGATGCTGGTGGTACTGGTGGTCGTTCACGAAGAACAAGTGGTGGTGGTGTTGGAAGAGGTGGAGCTTGTTGACGAATGCGAAGTGGTGGTGGGACAGGTGGTTGAGGTGGACGAACTTCTCTGATTATGAGTGGCTGTAAAACAAAATCAAATATTGTAGATATAGATCATGATCAATGGTATAAATTACTTACACCTGGAGGTGGAACTGGTGGTGGTTGAAGGAAGCGAACTCGGATATTTTGTGTGTATGTTTGTACACCACCAGGAGCTGGACGACGAATGATTTGTGGATTTGGATCTTGGAAAAGGCCTCGAGCATCAGTGGCATAGTGAACTTGACCGACTGCTGATGATGAATCAAAGACTGCTCCACCAGCAAGTCCAGCACCGCCTGAGACTGATTCGTAACTAGAGGCACCACCAACAAGACCGCCAGCAAGACCACCGCCAACAGCGTATGATGCATCATAAGCACCACCATGAGCACCACCTAATGATGATCCAAATGATGATGATTCGAAGCTTGAAGCATCAGTACCAAAACCAGTACCAACAGAAAAACCAGCACCTAAACCAGCACCAGCACCGTATGATGATGATTCCCATGATGAACCACCACCGTAACCAGCGCCAGCACCGTAACCACCGCCAACACCGTAACCAGCGCTAGCACCGTAACCACCGCCAACACCGGCATTTTGACCTGTAAAATGTAATGAATATTATTAACAAACATATACTCACAATAGTTAAACAAATATTATCTTACCGAGGAAGCTACTGAATTCACCGTGATCAACAACTCCATCTTTGTTAAGATCGACTTGGTTGAAGAGACCATCGGCAGCACCACCGGCACCTCCTGATGAGTAGGATGATTGATATGAATAGCCAGCCATAGCGTTTGTTTTACTGTTGATGCGAATAGAATACTTACTGGTGAAGGTAAGAAGTGAAGAAATGCTGCTGATGGATCAGTGTTTATATAGGCCCAGTCGATCATGCATGGATAGAGATGAAATATGTGCGGAGGAAGAGAGAAATAGTAGTATATTTTCGGTCCAATGCCTTTCGATTTTGCTTGTCATCGTCGTTTTTGTGTATATTAAACAATGATTAGTTCACGAAAAAAATAAATAATAAACGTAGAAGTAGAGAAAGGAGAAAGAGAGAGAGAGAGAGTGAAATAGTGTAAAGAAAAAAGAAAATGGAAAGACACAATATTACTATCCAACCGCAAGCCGTCAAATATTATTATCACTACGAAAACAGATCGATCTATGACTTGTGGCCTCTGTCATTACCTTGCGAGACGACTAGGTAAATACCGTTGATATCCAATAGGAAAAGGACAGTTAAAAAAAATGAGTAAGAGAAAGAAGGGAAAAAAAAATACCTATTCTAAAATCGTTTGATCATCGTACATAAATAATCGTTCTTCATCAATTATAAAATACATGCGCATTAACATTTATTTTATATCAATCAATAATAATAAAAATACTTTTTAAGTTTTGTTGAAATTGCGGTATTTCTATTGAAATTTTATATACAATAGAAATTGTAATTTACATTCAAAAACAAAAGAGCTATTTTCAAATCTTCTCATTAGAAAACTTTTTTAAATATATCTATTGAATGAAAATTGAAGCCGCAACCAAGTAATTGACTTTATTGACATTTTTTCTTATACGTTCTCTCGCTATTTTATACAATCATTCGCTTAGTTTTTCAATCTGATAGAAAATGCTTATTATCAATTTTCTATAGGTCACTAATTTTACCAAGCCAATGAAGATTTTAGTGATGTCGTCAATATTAGACAAAGTCAATACGTTCTTAAATGAGAGTTTTTTTTTTTTATCAAATAAGTTGAGCATGAAAAAAAAACGTTGTTATTGCATGAATGCACATACACACGTATATTTTCACATTAGTTAAAATGTAGCTCATGCTACTAATTGAGTAGATTAACAAGCCTGGTCTGATCGATTTTTGTTGCATGCACAACATTTTGGTAATCAGCACGTTCAAGATTTGATCGAACAAGTTCATAATATTCACCATCAGCTAATACTAACGATTGAAGTTTTTTATACAACGAATTTTTAAAAAAATATATAGTTTATAAAAATGAATAATAAAAAGACACATTAGTATAAATCTAACGAATATGATCAATAAACAAGAAGTTCTTCGTTTCTTGTTGCATTTCTCTATAAAAAAATTGATTTGAATCATACAATATAAAATTACCAAGTAGATAATTTCTTAATAAATCACGATGCAACGTTTCTATATGACAATTTAATATTACTGTCATTAATCAAAATGTCGAAAATAAGAAAAAAAAACCGACAAATATGATATTATAGACTTAAACAACATTTTAGGAATGTACTTTTGTTCTATGTAAATACATCTTCCATCCAATTGTAAATAACATGACCTTTGTCTGATTCAAAAAAACAACCATATAATGATTTACCTTGGTTATTTTTCTCATTACTAATTAAGACTAAAATATAAAATGAATTGACCAATAATATTGTACGTTTAAAAAACAATTTCTTATGAAAACTATATTGATTCGTTTTTAATTATCTCTATTTTTATTATTTTCAACATATGTCAAAATCGAATATTTAATCATTGATTTTGTTATTACCTGAATATTGTTTTTTTTTAATATTTTGTTGCTTTGATAAACAAAATACCTTAGATTTTTCATGTGTCGTCTTATTGCATCTATCCAAAATTGTTTGGTTAGTTTTGAATTGCCAATACAGAGTAAATCATGTAATTGTAGATCATGATGTTTAAGTACCACGAAAACAATTTCAAAATCTAGCTTTACTGTACTACTCACATCAATAACACATACGTTTGTTAATTTACCTTGATCAATTATTTGATAAAAAACCTTGAATGAAAAAAAAAACACATGAGAAAAACAAAATACCACAGTATATACCTATCTAATCAGTGAAACCGTCATCATTAAGTGCTGCTAAACAACTAAATTTTGCCTTTCATGCAAATATATTCAAAAGACAATGTTCAGTTAATTGAGTTGATGATATATCAAAGTCATTAACAGATGATAATTCTCATTCAACTACAAAAGTTCTATTATCTTTAAAACCTTTTTTTTTTTTTTTATTTAAAAGAATCAAAAACAAAAAACAAAATATTAATGTATGTTTAATTATATTCGCGTTTTTTTTCCTTATAATGATAAATACCAGTATTTTGAAGACGAAGATTTTGAAACTTTTTACAACGTTATAATAAATTATTAAAACTTGAAACAAGTACAAAAATTTAATGCAAGACATTGAGCGTATCAGAAGTTCGGATCACGGCGTTACTTAGCCATACAATAAACTTTAAGAAACTATCTTTCTATATAGTCTAATAGAGGAAAGAATACTCTATTTTTCTATGCTATTTGATTATACTTCAACTAATATCATGATAATAAATTTTCGATAAGACTTTTTTCATTATCATTTGTGTTCGTAGTACTAGATCACAACGGATGAGACAGGTTAGTTTTCAATCCCTCAATCTATTGTATTAACAACTAAAATATACCATAAGATGTAGCGTAAAAAGCTCTACAATTTACATATGATCACTTACTTTATAGTTGCACTTTTCTTTTTCAAAATAAACATAGTTTTGAGAGGCCATCTTGTGGTGTGTTTTTTTTTTCTTTTGATAAAGCATATTAGGTGACGAAACGATGAAATAACAAAAAATGATGTCGCCGTGTATCAAAAACATTTTCAATTTCGCATCGTCGAAATTTGATCGCCCAAAATTTTGTCCATTTTGAAAACGAAAAGTGTAACTATAAAATAAGCGGTCTTATGTAAATTGTAGAGCTTTTCACACTGCATCTTATGATATATTTTGGTTGTTAATACAATGTATTACGAGATTGAATACTACAACGGGAAAATTACTAGAGTACAAATAATAACAAAAAAAGTCTTATCGAAAATTTATTATCGTAATATTAATTGAAGTATAATCAAATAGCATAGAAAAATAGAGCATTCTTTTTTCTATCAGACCATATCGAAAGAAAGTTTCTTAAAGTTTACTATATGGCTAAGTAACGCCATGATTCGAACTTTTGGTACACCCTAAGTAAAATAGGTTTTCATCACTTCTGAGACACGTCTTTCTCCTAATATTTATTTTTCTGTGTAAAACTGTAACTATCTACGCAAAAAAATCCATGTCTGTATGTGATCAATACAATATAATATGATGACCATCATGCTTTCCGTTAGTTTAGTAGATCAATTTCCGTTATTTATAGGTATATCTTTATGTGGATACATGTTGATATATAGAATTAATAAAAACGAAAACAAATTTCGAGCTTTTTATTATTCAAAATTTAAAACTCTTTTATATGAAGTTTGTATTTCGACATAGAACATAATGAATACAATATGATCAATTTAGAAAAAATTAACTAATGAATGGATCGAATAATTTTCAAACAACTCTAAGTTTCTTTTTATTACAAATTTGCATTCCTAACGCATTGAATTTTCTCGAATTATTAGTCATATATCAACATAGATTTGATAAAGCGTATTTCTTTAAAGTTTAATATTGTTAGAAAGGATTAGTAATCTTTAATCTAAATCTTCAGTGAATGTTATTTTATGAATTTTTTGAAGTTTCCAGATTTTCTAAAGAGGTATTTTTTTTGTCCCGAAATTCCTAAAAAAGTAAGGTTCTAATAAAAAAATGCCCCTAACTCATACAAGTTTCATAAAATAGTAACCTTTGAAATACTTCGATTTGGTATCAATTGTTCTAAAAGAATCATCAATTTGAATACTTATTGGTGATGAATCAAGTAGCTTCTTTCATGTTTGATCATTGCTTAATGAATAGAAAGAAAAAAGTCTTTGTTGAGAATCAACTGAATAACTAATAATGTATTGAAAACATTTTCGAATCATTAGAATCATACATCAATATTGGTCATTTTTTACCCAACTGTGTTTTTTCTAGAATCATTGATTTTCTTCTGTTCATGTTTGATTTCAAAAGATGCCTTCAAAAAACCAATCAGGGTGATACATTTCCTTTTACAATAAATAACTGTAGCACTTTGATAGAATAGCTATGAAGAAAATATATCAATATAAATCGCAAGAGAAAAACTAAAAGAATATCTTGAAATTTTTCATTAAAAACCATTGGCATAAAATGTTGGGTTCGTTATTATTAATGAAAGAATTACAATGCATGAAGATTCATAAATTATTGTTTAGTGTTGCCCTGTATAAAGGTAGATCATAGGAATAAATAGAAAAAAAAATAAGTAACCATAGAATCTAGTAGTGATTATGCTTCTAAGAATAAAGTATTTTCTATTATATCTTTTTATAATTTTATGTTTCTCAAAAACAAACGTAGGACAAAGATATATGCTTTACGTACTTGAAAAAAAGAAAATATTTGTTAATTTAGAGTAAAAACAAAAAAAAGGACTTTCAATTTTTATCATACTCGATCTAATACTCCTCTATAGGTGTAGTATGAGGCGGATTCCAGTACTTGATTTATATAATATACTTGTATTGAAAAATTTTTTCGTCTTTTTAAAAAATAATCTATATAGATATGAAAGTAAGAGTACATGAGATTTAATTTAATATCTAATAAATCAAAATAAATGTAGAAATTTTTAATGAAAGATTTTATTGTAATAATTATAATAATAAGGGAATTTTCGATCCTTACACGATTATTTTCAACTGAATATTATAAACATTTTGAACAGATATTACAACAGACGATAGAGAAAAGGAAAATGTTTTATAATATCATTACGATAGAATTTCTCAATTAAAACTTCTACATT